ACAATTCACAGAGGAGATGTTGATGTGTTGTGCAGCAGCTATGATGTCATTTGAAACACAAAGCATTGGCCAAGGTTTGTGTTTTACTTAATTCTAAACATGTGGTATAAATACTTTGACAATTTATGAAGAAAATAACAAAATGCAAAATACCATGAAGAAAGTTTCCTAGAGGATTGGGACTGGACCTCACATGACATCATTTACAGCAAAGGGAGAACCAAATGTTTCTGCCCAAGAAACTCTGCAAACAATTATGAAGCTCACTGGTGAGCTGACAGGTGCAACATCCCAAAGACCTCCTACATCAACAGGAAAACAAAAAGATGTCAACCGAGCCCTACAAGAAAGGATAGGAAAACCAAACACGTGCTGTCAGTTCAGCCAGTGCTTTTGTATGGAGCACACGGTTGTCGTCTGTGAAGACTGCTGTGGGTGTGCTAGTGGAAGCAAAGCTTGTTTCTGTTGCAGAGTTCTGTTGGTATTTTCACTGTAGTTCATATAGGAATTTATTTCTGGTATTATCTTTTAGGTTTGTAAGCAGGTACCCAGCTGATGTAAAATGTTATGCCTATTTTAAATGCACAATACATAGTAAGAATTTAACACTTTATTAATATTTTATATTCCTGGTAACTAAACACTGCATAATAGAAGAACCTCCTGGTAGAATAGCAAGACACTGAGATATCAAATGCATCCTACAAAAAGTCCAATAAAGCGAAACACACGTGCTGTCAGTGTGAGTGATACGTGGGTATGGAACTGCTGTTGTGGTGTGTGGAGACTGCCTTAGGTGTGATGATCGACGTAAAGAGTACAGTGGGCCCTCGAGTTATAACTGGCCTTACATGTGAGCAACCTGGGATATGATCGGAATCTTAGGGTACCACCCAAATGCCAGCCACTTGTGCAGTTGCAAACACTCACTGTGCCAGAACAGTATGTGTAAGCCTTCATAAGACTCAGATGCACATGGTTGTAGATGTGATTTTGGTCAGTGCTTCATGTAATTGCTATGGTTACTGCTATCAAAATGGTCCCCAAAAGCTAGAAAAGTACCTGCAGAAGGAAAGGAGGTAAAGAAAGCAATCACAATTGAAAGAATGGTGTTACAAGAATAGACAGACGCAGACAACTTTAGCCCAGTGTTTAATTCTGAAAAGGTTGAGAGGTGAGCCAGAAGCAGGTCCTAGTGGGCTGCAGACTCCCAGGGAGAGAAAGGATGCCAGAGGTTCCTGGTGCTCTTATGGGAGGGCACTCTCCTCCTAAACAGTAACCACCTTCCACTTCATCCTCCATCCTGCAAGCCAAAGGTATCAACTTGAACTATAAGTACATATGAAATTGTTGTCTTGGTACTAGGTACATCTTACAACTTTTTGGTGAATGCGCTAAGAAAATTACTGGTATTTGTGATAAATCACACACATTATACAACTCTTTTATTATGAAAAGGTTGCTTAAGGGTTGCTCTGGGAGGTTCAGAATGCAATTTGGGTATTTTTGTTATTTTTCGTGGGAAAAATAATCTCGACTCACGGCCTACTTGAGTTACAACCAGCCCTCTAGAACAAATGGAGCTCATAAATCAAGGGTCGACTGTAGTTTTTTGTAAAGTGCTATTGGTATTTTCATTGTGGTTCATATAAGAATTTATTTATGTTGCTCTTTTTTAGACTTTGTATGCCAGAAATCAGTATGACAATTTTGATACTTTTTTATAAACAATAAATATGAAAAATTCAACACTTTATTTTTGTGATTTGTCCCCTAAGTAGTCATTGTTTAATATAATAAAACTCATAAAAGTAAAATTAATAACTCACCAACAGAAATATTCTAAATAATAGACGTCGGTCTGGTAGATCCATGTGTCAGCTCCTTTATGACAAAACTAGTGTTACACTATATGCGCTACTACGGGGTGCTATGTGCTGCAACCCTCACATTGAAGTTCTCTAGAAAAGCAGAAGCAGCGGGGGAGGAGAGGAGAAGAGGGTAAGATCACTGTAGGAGTTGGCTCCCGCAGTCATAGGAGTCCCAAGGTGAAAGCTCTAGGTATGTAAGCAGGTGAGCGCTGGACTGCTTCTCCTTCAGGGGAACTCGGTGCCTTCCTGTCCACCCCATCAGACAGGTGGAGGCCTGCCCATGGTATGGAGGGTGATGCAGATGCCCACTGCCTCTTGACCCCTTAGTGGAGGTGACAGAATGAGCTGCCATGCCCCCACCATGCTCTAAGTCTGCAGATGCCAACATCAGAGCTGCCAGTTGGGTGCACTGCGTGGTCCTAACGTCTGCCTCTGGCTGCTCAGGCTCCTGGTGCTGATTCTGGAAGAGCAGGATTGGAAAGATCTGCAACAAAGACCTCCTCTATTCAGAAGTGGCACTGGGGAGTTGTCCCAGCTCAGGTAGAAAGGCCGGGCTTTGGTGACCCTGTCCTTTCCAGCTGCTGGCTGAGGGCATTTCAGAGAAGGACTCTGCCCAGAAGCTAGCAGAATGAGAACTCCCATCCTAAAGTGCAGATCTGAGTTGCAAGCCACAGCATCCATACCATAGGACTCTATCTGCTTTTTTAAAATAGTTTTTAAGTAGCTTTAAAATAGCTTTAATAGCCAGGCATAGTGGTGCACACATTATCCCAGCACTTAAGAGCCTGAGGCAGGAGGCTCACTGTGAGTTCAAGGGCAGCCTAGATTACTTAGCAAGACCCTGCTCAAAAAACCAAAAATAAATAAAGCACTAGCTTTATTGGTATATTATTCACCTAACATAAAATTCACTGCTCTTTATATATTCACAGAGTTGTGCAGCTACCACCCCATCTAATCCTAGAACATCCCATCACCCCGTGAAGAAACGAGGCCCACTGTCATCCCCAGCTGCCCCGATAGCTGCTGGACAGCTTTCTGTCCCTGAGGCAGGGCCTGCGTGACCTCACATGGAAACATGGCCACGCTGTGTGTACTGGTTCCCATTCTGCTTCTAAAGTGCAGCTCAACTTTTATAATTTGATCGCATGCTTTTGCCTTCTTGTTCAGTGGAAATTTGAAAGTAGGGACAGTAAGACAGACTCAGCAATTTATTTAAACATGTCACCTGGGCCGCGGATGTAGCTCAGTGGCATAAGCACCTGCCTGGCGAGCGCAAGGTCCTGAGTTTAAAAAAAAAAAAATCACCTAAGACACTTGTAAAATTCTAGCATTCTTTTCCTGAATAATCAGTGCAAGTACTGATTTTTAATTCCTCCAGTCATTGAAGCCACTTTGGCATCTCTAAAGTTCCTGAAACTTTGATAAGTAAAGCATAACTTAAATGTATGATTCTTTTGAGCTGTGGTAACACGTGGCCCCAAAACAAAAATCTGTCATTTCTAGGATATTCTATGGAAATGACCAGAAACTTACTTCTGTCCTCTGTGGAGCCAAAGCTAAGTAGAGGCTGAAAGCCTGTGAGTTTAGAACCATTCTAATGATGAATATTGAATATCTAGATTAAAAACACCGTTCTGCCTTTATTGGAGGCACTAATAATGGCATTTTCTTCTTTGCATAGATTTGTAGGCAAAGCTAGAAAACTCAGGCTTTGATAGTACATACTTAATAAATACTGAATTTTTTAAAAAAGTGATACAGGGCTGGGGATTTAGCTCAGTGGTATAAGCATCTGCCTGGCAAGCATGAAATCGTGAGTTGGATCCCCCGGTACCAAAAAAAAAAAGTGATACAGTGAGTTCTGATTATTAAGAAAGTTGGTCATACCTGGAAAAGTCTAGTTCTAAAATTTCATATATTTATTTGTTCAATTTTTTTCTGATTTTTTTCATTTTATTTTTTGAGACCGAGTCTCCCTAGTAGTTCAGGCTGTCCTTAAATTATGTAACCCAGGCTGGCCTTAAACTCAAGGTGATCCTGCTGCCTCAGCCTCTTAAGTGCCACCATGCCCAGGTTTCTTACAGTTCATATTTGCAGTTAAAACCTTAAATACTTGTTAAAAGAGTATAAAACAATGTCAGGTTGGTGGTGCACACCTGTAATTCCAGCACCGGGGAGACTAACGCAGGAGGATTGCTGTGAGTTCAAGGTCAGCCTGGGTTACATAATGAGTTCAAGGCCAGCCTGAGCTATACTGTGAGATCCTGTTTCAGTGGGGGAAAAAAAGATACGTATTTACCCAGAGAGTAGTGTAGTGAGCTGTCATGCATGCTGAGTATGTAGCTGGCAGTCAGGCAATGTTTGTGTAGATTTTTCTTAGGTCTCAGTATAGTTTAGGCTGGCCTCAGACTCACTGTGTAGCCCACACTGGCCTTGAATTTGTGGTGATCCTCCTGCCTCAGCCTCCTGAGTGCTGGGATTACAGGTGTTTGCCACTATACCCAACATGGAATTTTTCTGTTTTTTTAAAATTTATATTAAGGAAAACATTCTGGTTTCACCTGTATTGCTGACTTTTGACTCAGTGGTTTCCAGGTAAAATCAAATGCGTGGCTTGATAGACATTTTATTTCTGTATTTATCCTTTAGCAGCACAAGGTGTTTCAAATGCACTGGCAGTGGAATGGCGTGTGTAACCCATTCCCACTGCGCGAGCAATGACAGCGAGGTTGTATTGACCCAGATCCCGAGTCTTGATCTGTCTGAGTACATGCTTCATGCCAGGGGTCTGAAAGCGAGTGATTTACTTGGTTTCAAAAAGGGGAGGATGGGTTAGGGATATAGCTCAGCAACATAAGCACCTGCCTGGTAAGCGTAAGGTCGTGAGTTTGATTTCCAGAAAGAAGAAAGGGGAGGCTTCCAGCATGGGTGTGGCACCTGTGACTGTGTGATTTTCATTTTGTTTTATTTTTCACCAGGGGAAAACACCTATTATGTTTGTCTGCCCAACAGTCCCACAACATGAGACTTGTGTGACTTTAAATAGAGGTCGGGTGCCTGGATATTTATAAAATATAAATCATGTATATATATAAAATATGTTGTCTGGTTTTTTTTTTCTCTCAGATAGATAAAAGCCCAGAAGGACAGTTTACTCAGCTCATGACACTGCCCAAAACCTTACAGCAACAAATAAACCGCATCATGGACCCCCCTGGGAAGAACAGGGACGTGGAGGAGACACTGCTGCAGGTGGCACATGACCCAGACTGCGGTGATGTGGTACGCCTAGGTATGGCTGGGATGCCTCAAGAGCTTGGAGCTGCCTCTTTCTAACTGAGACCACTATTTGCTCTTTCTGGGCTAGCGAGTTGTTGAGAAATTGCCTCTGGGAAAAAGAAAATTACTAACAGCTTGTGGATTTCCAAATTGCACTTTTCACTTGTTTGAAGTAAAAGGCTTTTCAGGGGTGGTGGCCTGTAATAGCAGCACTCAGGAGGCTGAGGCAGGAGGATTGCTGTGAGTTTCAGGCCAGTCTGAGCTACAAAGTGAGTTTAAGGCCAGCCTGAACTGCGTGCAAAACTGTGTCTCAAAAAGACCAAAAAAAAAAAAAAATTATCTCAGCACTCAGGAGGCTGAAGCAGGAGAAGTGCTGTAAATTCAAGACCAGCCTGGGATACGTGGTAAAAACCTTGCCTTAAAAAACAAAAACAAAAACTAATAGCCTCAAAGTCAGGTGGTAGAAATAACTTTTTTTAGATTCCAGGTCCTAAATCACCTTCAAGGGAGAAACAGGGCTTCTTCTAAATCTGGGAGTGTAACTGCTAGGAGTCCCTTCAAAGCTGTGTCTGCTCCCCATGGTAATCCAGGCAGGAAGGACATTATGGCATTGTCAATGCTCATGACCTCAGGGAGCACAGCTGTTACCAGCCAGCTCCCCCTGGAGCATTTCAGACACTGGTCGCCGAGTCCTGTGCTGCAGGCCCCACTTCCCTGTGAGTAAATCATTAGGAAGTTGGGAGTGACTTGGCCACCCTCCTGCTGGCATCCAGTGACCATCTGTGAGCTCCCCAGGGTGTGTGTCCTGGTGTGTGTCCTAACCTGCCCCTGGCAACAGTGCATCACTGCTGGGTGGGTTGGGTGGGTTAGCTGGCTGGTTGGTTTTGAGACAGGGTCTTGCTGTGTAGTCAGGCTGGTCTCAAACTTGGGGTAACCCTTCTGTCTCAGCCTCCTAAGTGCTGGAATGACAGGTGTACACCACCACACCCAGCCAATACTGTCTTCTTGAGGGACTGCAAGACCTGTCCTATTGCTCCTCTTTGAAGTGTCTCCTCCATATGTTTTCAAAGTGAACTTCTTTTTCCTAGATCAGAGCATTTGACTTTTATCTCATCCCATGTAGGGACTGAGAAGCAGGAGCAGATTTAAATCCCTAAAATGACCCCTCTTGGGTAAGGTGAGGTGAGGTGGCCTAGGCCTTGAGCATGGCCACTCATAAGTGGTCACCCCAGTGTCCTGGCCTCAGCCTGCTGCTCTCTGTGTCCCTCCATGGCAGGGCATGGACCTCCACTGGAGTCCTAGACAGTTCCCATGGCTACCATCAGCTTTAGTCTCACGGCCCCTTTTGGTTCTTCCCCTTAGGGCTCTCAGCGATTGTGCGACCTTCTTGTATAAGACAGAGCGCCAAAGGCATCTTTACTGCAGGTAAGAGCTGTGTGTGGGGCCACAGCTCTGTCACCCTGGAGCATGGCCCATGTCGCTCACAGCCGTACAGCAAGGTATCTCAGTGATGTGCACACAGCCATCACGACAGTGTCACCCGGGGCTTAAGATGCAAGGTCATGTTTGGGAGCAGCTAAAGAGCTCCTGCTGTGCAGGCTCCCCCTGTATTTTGTTTTTAACAGCATCACACATACATGGAAAGATGGAAAGACAGCAGTACCTGTCCCACCATACACACCTGGATAGCTGCCAGCAGCCCTTGAGAGTTATTTGTGTTTGTTCTGCCATTTCTCCAAAGCCCCCTGGGTCCATCTGTTGCTGATCGTCATGGGATTAGAATCCACTCCTCTGGGGCTGGGGATTTAGCTCAGTGGAATAAGTGCCTGCCTGGCAAGCACAAGGTCATGAGTTCGATCCCTGGTACTGCAAAAAAAAAAAAGAATCCACTCCTCTGCCTGGCTTGCAGCCCACCCATTGAGTCTGTCTCAGAGCTTCGGCCAAGTTCACTTCAGAGTTTTAACATCATTCTGGGCCATTGGCCTACTTCTCCATCCCTGTAGGGAATATTGTCATCCTAACTCCCCGGTTTTGTTTTTTGCAATACTGGAGATTGAACCAGAGTCTTGCATAGGCTGGGTAAACACTCTACCACTGAGCGACATCCCCAGCTCTTTATATTTTATTTTGAGATACGGTCTTGCTAAATTGCTCAGGCTGGGCTCAAAGCTTGCGATCCTCCTGCTTCAGCCTCCGGAATGGCTGGGATCCCAGTAATGTGGCACCGTGCTGGGCTTCTGTCATTTGATTGGTGCAGGCTGTCATTTGGGAAAGCACACGACCCAGGAATTCCCTGAAAGTGTCCACATCAGATATGAATTTAGAGACCTGTATGTCTGAACATCTCCATTCTCTGCTCTCACACAGTTGATCCTGAATTGTCAGGACAGATCAGTCTGACAGATCATTCTCCCATACATTCTGAAATCATTGCTGCAATATCCTCTTACCTTTAGTACTACTGTTGAAGTCCACAGCAATTCTGAGTCTTAATCTCTTGTGTTTTCTTTCAAGAAATTTGGTCTTGGTTTTCCCCGAGAGCTCTACAGTCTCAGTGACGTGCCTTGCTTCCTGATTTTATCTGTGTTACTGGACAATCAGAGCCCTTTCACTTTGCTTTTTTTTTTTTTCCAGAGGGGAGGATGAGACGGTCTCACTGTGTAATCCAGGCTGGCCTTGAACTCACTATGTAGCCCAGACTGGCCTAGAACTCACAATGATCCTTTCACCTCAGCCTCCCGACGCTGGAATTACAGATGTGTACCACCATGCCTAGCTTACTCTTGCAGTTTGGAAACTTAGCATATAAGAATACTGCACAAAAAAATTTTTGTTGTATTTTTTTTTTATTTTTTTGAGACAGAGTCTCGGTAACTCCAGCTGGCCTTGAACTTACTAGATATCTCAGGCTGGCCTCAAGCTCACAGAGATCCTCCCGCTTCAGCCTCGCGAGCACTGAGATCATAGATGTGTGCCACAATGCCTGACTTCCTTTATTCTTTAATCTCATTCCATCTATTTTCTCTGTTTTCTTTCTGAAACTCCTTGGGCTTTCTTTCTGTTGTCTCCTGTCTGATATCTCTTTGGTTTTTTGCTCTGCTTTCTGGGAGGTTTTTCTAACTTTAGTTTCCAAATGCTTCTGTTGATTCTATCTGATTCCCTGCCCGCACACCCTCCATGCGGGGGATGGAACCCAGGTCTGGCACACGCTGGGTGGTGCTCGCCGCCAAGCCCCGGGCCCAGCCCCTGGTGTCCTGGCTCTGACTTCAGCTGTTTTGTTCGCTCTTGTTTCATTCCTTCGCTTTCCCGGCCTGCTGTTGCTCAGTAAGTACCTGCCTCTGCACGCAGAGCCACACGGCCCTCCCCTGCAGCCCTGCTCCCCACCGTCCCCACGCGGTGTCTGAGAACGCTCTTTCTCCCTGCTCCCTATGCTCCCAGGCACTGGGCGGCCCTTCAGTTCAGTCTTCCCCACAGAATCACCTCTTGACTGCCTTCAGGTCCAAGTTCCTCAGGGTGCAGAAGGGAATGCAGCACCTCCTTGTCTTCCAGAGGCTCCGAATGTGGAAGGAGAAAAGTGTGTCAGTAGAAATTGGCATTGTGGGCCTGAAATAGGGCGTGATCATTCTGCTGGAACCTGTGGCCTCGGGGTTGCAGCCTCCTGGGAACGCGACACAGGGTCACCCTCCTGGATTTGGGAAAGATGCAGCAGATACTTAGCAGCGCTTCTGACAGATCTGTGGCTGTGAAGCCTGCCCTCCACGCAGGCACATGCCCTGCCCCTGCAGTCCCATGACCCCCCTCTCCTCTGCCCCTGCTTCCCTGACCATCTGCAGTGAGGTGTGCAGTCTGCTCAGACCCAGGCTGGCCGGCCGCTTTGGTCTTGCACGTTGCCACCCCCTTGGTCCTCCCCGGGTGACGTTTTCTTGATTCTTAGCTTTCCATCTTATACAGAATTATTAGCATTATTATCCTGTTTTTAGTTGTGATGATAGTGTTCTTATGGTGTTTTTCTTTAAAAACTCTTTTCTTACAAAGATAGACAATTATACAATAACTGTTGCTGATGAAATGATGCGATGCCTGAGAGTTGCTTCTGAATAGAAGGAGGGAGGTGGCAAGGTGTGGGTAACACAGGACCGCCTGTGAGCTTGGCTGTTGGAGCTGGCTGTGTGTTCGGAGGGAATGTGTTGTAGGTTCTGTCCTTTTTATAAGCTGGAACTTTTCACTAATGAGACTCGAAAGCTCCATTATCATCATCCTCATCACGCAGCTCTCAATGTCTCCACGGGGAAACAGACTTTGTCCTCCTCCCCGAGTCACTCTCCTCCAGCAGAGGGCAGCGGGTCCCCGCAGCTGCAGTCCGTGCCACACTGTGCCGCCTGAGACTCGAGGGGCCAGAGTCGGCGGGCCCTTGGCCTGTTCAGCTGCGGTAGTCAAGGCTGGGGTGCAGACTGCCAAGCACCGTGCCAGGGCAGAGACCAGCGCCCGCACCAGAATTGAACCACTGGGAACTGTGAGGCAGGTTCCCTCCTTTTCCTGAGTTCTAGTTTCATAGGGCTAATTACCCTGCCCCTTCAGGGCAAGAATCACACCTTAGGACATCTAGAAGCAGGTGCTTCAGGGAGGTAATCGGAGGTGTCCCAGCGTCTCCTTTGCACCCGCCTGCCTCTGGCACCTTCCGCCATCCCCAGCTAGAATAGGCGCACCACCACAGTGCGGAGTGGTCATTCTGAGCGGCATTTTCCTGGGAGGTTCCTGCTGTCCTCCAGCCCCATCTCTGTGGCCGGAGCCTTGTTCTGCCTCACCTTCACTAGGCCCTTTTCCCCGAGGTCTTCCAGTTCCTCAGGTGTTTAGCCAAGGATGAGGACTCCAGGGCACACCTGGTTTCATTTTGTTGTTTCTTGAGACAGGGTCTCACTGTGCAATCGAGGCTGACTTGGAACTCACTGGGTGACCCAGGCTGGCCTCAAACTCACGGCAACCCTCTGCCTCAGCCTCCTGAGTGCTGGGATTACGGGCATGCACCACCTGGCTTGGTTTTATTTTGTTCCACTGTAGCCATCACCCTCCTTCCAGCACAACTTCTTACACATAGCAGGAGAAAGGGTCTGTTTCCCGCGTGGCCTCAAGTGTATGCACCCGGGGCCTACATGTGCATCCTGAACTTGGATGAGCCTCACTTTGCTCCCAGCAAAGATAGGACCCAGGCATCAGTCCCAGCTCAGCAGATTATATATGCATCCTGGTAAATGGTGTTGGAAAACCCACAGTGTGTTCTCAAGCAGTCTACTCTGTCTTGATTAGTTCCCTTGAAATACCCTGGCCATCAGATGTGCCCGTGTTTGAATAAGAGTGCAGAAATAGACTGCAGAAGTGTTTCCAGAGCCACATGCTGTGCTCTTCTGCTTTGGCCTGGGAGTTCCTTCAAGGTCTCAGCCCAAGATAGCATCGTGTGGTTCTCATCTGGTAGCAGGTTGGATGCCGAAGCTCATGCTTGGGGCAGCCAGAGCTACTGTATCCTGGCACCTACCTTGGCACCCTCATGGTGGCAGCAGGTGCCATGTGTCACCTCTCAGGCCAGTCACAAAAGGCCAGCCAAGCACACTGTCACTTCCTAAGCTTTTAAGAAGTTCCTTGTCCAACTGGAGAGAGGTGTAATGTGCTGCTGGGGGACACACACGAAGTGGGGCAGCAGTGACCATGAACCGAGGTACAGAGGGGCTGCAGGGATCACGAGGGCTTGCTTCACCTGGATGTGTAGAGAGGGTCCCAGTGGGATTGGGAGGGTGGGGAGGGGAGGAGGGGCCAGACTTGACCCCAGGCCCTGGCGTGGGAATGGTGGGGGGTGAAGAGTCCAGGTTTTGAAATCTTTGTTTTTCCCTACCTCATGTTCTAGCCAATCAGAGTTAACTCTGGGGAAAGACACCTGTTTACTCTCTGACTTCAAAGGACTCGGCTGAATCACCCAGACAGGTCTTGTCTTGTGCTAAAAAGGCCCAGTTCTGCCTCAGCTGAGCCTCCTCACCCTGACCTGAAGCCTGGCAGAATAGATCCTCGCCATCCTGTCTGAGTTCTTATGGCTAACACGCCTTGATTTTCTTACCTTCCTGTTAATGTCAAAGATTTTTCTGGTGATGTATTTATCAACGAGCCTGGGCGTCCTAAAGTAAGTTGGCCTTCTGTCCCGGAGGAGCCTTAGTGTGAGATGCAGGACTCTGTTGGAAATTAAGTGAAGAGTGCTTGGGGGCCCTCAGAGCTCTCTGAAGATCGGTTTGGGCAGGCACCTGTCACTGCTGAGTCACAGCCGTGCCTCTTAGTGTGGCCTGGGGAAGTGGTGATGGTGGTGGCAATGGTGAGAAGGCAGTCAGAGTGCAGCTTCTCTCTCCTCAGGCTGTCTTCCCGCAGAAGTGGCTGATAGGGGTTCCAGGGAGTGTTCAATTCCTAAATGACCATCCTTTTTCTAGAAAGGAAAAGCAAGCTTAACATAGGACCTGTGGACCCGCCGCTCTGAGAGCAGAGGCCTCTTGAGGTCCGTGCTGGCACCCCTGCTGGTGCACACGAGCCCATCTGTTCTCCACTTCCTCTCGGTCTGCACTGTGTCTCCTGCCCCTCGCTGTATCCCAGCAAGGGGCACCATTGGGGCCTTGCTGTATCCCAGCAAGGGGCCAGGCCGTCCTCACACGGGGTCTGTGCAAGCACCCAGTGCGCCTGCCTGCAGGAAGCGCTACTGTTTCTGTAGCTGTCACAGGTGCATGTACGCATGTGCATGCAGAACCTCACGAGCCGAGCTCACGTGCAGCAGCGCCCTGCAAGACTGAGTGCTTTGTGACCTTTGCCTCTCAGGGCTTGGGCGGCTGAATGCTGGCCTCATCTTGAGGTTTTAATCTTAATTTCCTGATAAACAAGGAAACTTTTATGTGTTTATTTGGATGTCCTCTGTGGAGAAGTGTCTGATTTGATTTTGACTCATTTTTCTATTAAGTTGTTTTTGCTTTTTCTCTCTTGCTGGGGAGGGAACTCCAGGCCTTGTGTGTACCTAGCCTGTGCTGAGTTACACACACACACACACACACACACACACACACACACACACACGGGATCAGCACTGCTTCTTGGGAAACATGGAACACAAAAACCGCCACTTGGGGGTTGTTATTCTTTCAGTAGTACCTGTGATGAGAGAAGCTTTTCATTTCACCAGGTTCTTCATGCACACAATTCCATGTTTATCCATTTTGTTCTTGGTTTCTAGTTTTCTGTGTTCTGTTTAGAAAATGTTTATGTATTTCAGATTCACCAAGTCAGAGACCTTGCCTTTGTTAAAATTAGGCCATCAAGGCAGGAAAGACCCTTCTGCTCTGTGAGCTCTTAGTGCCTGGCAGATCAGGGACCCCCGTGAGCTGTGCAGGCACCTTGGCCCTCACACAGCCAGCAGCTTCCTGCGATCCACTCAGTTCACCTGATGCCCTGGCCTGGCTTCAGACATCTTGATAAAGAACTCTGAATAGTTCACAGGATAGGGAAGTGGGGCCCAGAGAAGGGGAGGCGCACTACCACAAATGTGGGGTGCCAGCAGGGTCTGAACCCCGGGTGGGGACGCTTGCCCCAGTGCTCCTTCCTGCAGAGCACCTCACTGCTCTGGGTGCTGGAGGCAGTTTGTGTTGAGGAGTGGGCTCCATGGGGCGCTGTGCTACATGCACTATGGATTGACCTGGATTGACGGCCCTTTCTGGAGCCTGGGACTCAGTGTCACCATGTCACTGGGACTCAGTGTCACTCAGTGTCACCTCTGGCTTGAGGTGTGACTGAGCACCGGGGGTGCCGAGTTGAACCCTGCACTGCAGTGCTAAGTTATGGTCAGGCTTCTGGTTAGCTCCAGGTGTGATTTTAAAAGCACCTCATGGCCGGGTGTGCTGGTGCATGCTGCCCAGCACTCAGGGCTGAGGCAAGAGGGTCACCGTGAGTTCGAGACCAGCCTGGACTACACATGGGCTAAAGGTCAGACTAAACTGCATAGTAAGACCTTTCACAAAAAATAAACAAACAGCACATTACAAATCCATTCCCACCTCTGCATTCACAGTTTTATCAGGGAGACTCCGGGGATAAAATGAGCACTTCCAGTGACAGGGCCACTCTTCCAAGAGGCCTCTGGAGCGAGCCTGTCTGAGTCATGTGCTTTTCCCAGGCTTGAGCAGAGAGCCAAGTGCAGTCAGGGTTTCACACTGACACACTGAGGATGCTGTCCTAACCACTGCCACAAGTGGAATTTGTTGTATGTCTCATCTGCCCCACCTATTCGACACCTTTCCTGAGCCCCCAGAGCCCCTCCCTCTGATTGCACCCTGTGCTAGTGATGCAGAGAAGGTGCCAGAGCCAGCTGTTGGAAGGGGCTCCTTCCATCCAGATGTCAGAACATTTGCTCTGCTGCTGGGTGCCACTGGGTGCTGTCCTAGGAGACAGCAATGCAGGGAGGAGTGGGGTCAGGTCACTTTCTCAGGGGCTTGCAGTCCAGGCAGGACAGGTGAGGTGGCGGGCTCCAGACTGAGCTGGGCCTCGAGGGATCCCATCTTAACGGGAGTGGAGATGCAGCGTTCATGATGGCACGGGTGGCAAGGCAGGGAGCACCAGTGGGCAGAACACAGCATCTGCCATAGAGAGGCTGTTCCACCTCTGTCCCTACACAAGCAGGACAAAGGCGCTTATCCCAAGGACTCAGGCACTTTCGGCATCAATGTCACATCCCCATGTCAGAACCTGGCCCCATATCAGTCACGTGACCCCCAGCCAGCCCATCACTGCACCCCAAAGACAGCCTGTGATGGAAATGTCACCAACTCAGCGACATGCCCACCCCGCACCTGCCAAACCTCACCCTCTTTTCTTTTCTCTTTTAGGCTTGAAGAAATCAATGATTTATAGTTCACTAAAACTGCGCAAAATGTGGAAAGGATGGCTGAGGAAAACCTGATTTGACTTTTATATATGTATATATTATGGTTGATGAATAAAGTGTTTGATCTTTTTTGACAGAGCAGTGTTTGTTACTTTGACCTCTTGCTTGAATTTGAAGAGAATATGGTCTGTATAATATTGATTTTATTTTATTTTTATTATTTATTGTTTGGTTTCTTCAGACAGGTTCTTACTATGTAGTCCACAATGGTCTTGAACTTACTGTGTAGCCAAGGCTGACCTTGAACTCATAATGATCCACCTGCCTCGGCCTCCTGAGTGCTGGGATTACAGCTGTGCACCACCACACGGCAGGGACTTCTGAAGCACGCCCGGGAGAGAGAGGGGGGAGTCTCTTCAGAAGCTCCTAGACCAGCCGGGAAACTTCCAGCAGCCTTTGCCTTCCTGGGCTCAGAAAGGGATGTCCACCCCTGAGCCGGGAAGCTGCCTGAGGACGGGGCTGGGCTGCTCAGCTACAGTGGACACCCAGGCAGAAACCCAGGGAGGGTTAGGAGGCCCCCGCAGCCACCGTGTGCGCTGTGTCCGGGTCCAGTCGCACCTCAGGTTCTCATCTTCTTACAGCTGTGTCTCCATGGCTTGGTGCTCAGTGCAGGTGCTCAGGATCTCTGGCACCTTCACACCACGCCTTTGTACTCACTTCTTAAGTGCTCTTCCACCATTCAAAAGCCACTCTTCCATCAGCAGTGGATCTGCCATCACACAGATAGGCTGAGAAGGAAGTGTGTGTCTCCAGTGGTAAACCGTCACTCCCTGGCAAGCTGGGCACCTCTGGTGGCACGCACAGACATCTCACATGAAGAGGCAAGAGGTGGCAGGCGTTTCACCAGCACCCTCTGCCTGTTTCTAAATGGCGCCCATTTCTGTCGGATACTGGAGGATTTAACTGCAGCAACCAAACCACTGACCTGGGCCGAAGGCAGTGTGTTGGAGTGGGTAGGCAGACACGATGTCCTAGGCAATAAGCCTCGGGTGGGGGGAATGTGGGCAAATGGGACCACTGACTAGCCACGGGACTGTGGCCAAGTCCCATAGACTTTGAGAGTAGTTTTGCCCTCTATGGAGATATTCCGAGCTGAAGCTGGCCGTGAGATACACTGTCGTCATTCAGTGGTTATCACTCTTTTGTATTACAGTTCTAGTACTTTTCTAGTACTTTCTTCTTCAGCGGGGAATCAGATTCCCTGTTGCTAATAGGACCAAGTAGGAAGGACTCTCGGTGCCTAACTGGTTACAACCTTAGCATGTTTCGTGTTATTTTTCTGTCCCCCGTAACTGATTGCTGCTTTGTATCCCAGAGTAGACGCATTGCCAGGTAGAGTCTTGGTCCAGCCTGAGCGCTGGCTTCCCTTTCCAGACATTAAGCAGGAACTTCTGGGGTGGGGTGCTGGCCTGGGGCCCTAACTCAGTGAGTAGCGTAACTGGGACCAGAGCCCAGGCCTCCGAACTGCTGTCCGTGCCTTTTCCACATGCTCTGCAGCTCTTGCATAAAATAAGTACCTGAATCTTGATGTTTCTCCTCTCCAAGACCCATTCTTACCTTCCTCTCCCTCAGCCCATCCTGAACTAGGTAGAGCGATGTCTCAGTTGGGATTCATTGAACAGGTTCACAGGAAAGGTGAGTCTGCTGCTGAGCAAGTGGAACTCACAGACTGGGTCCAGAAGACCTGAGAAACACGTCCTTGCATCTGATCCCAGCTCTGCCTCTTTCCAGCTGTGTTGTTGGGCGCCATTTATCCCCTCAGAGCCTCCATTTCTGTATCCATAGCCATGTCATCTGCAGGGTTGGAATCAAATGTGACAACCACCATAAAAGCACCCAGTGTGGCATCAGCCCTTAGCACATCTCTAAGGAGTTCTGCTCTTATTTAGCTCAGCAGTGAGCTCAGCTGGCTAGAGTGAGCCCACACACTGGTCGGGAATTAGAAACCAGCCCAGGTACATCAAAGAGGAGAAACTGGTTGCAGAGCTGCTGGAAGGCTGAAGAACAGGAGGAAGCTGTGCTGGAGAGGACCTACAGGCCCACACCTGCCCAGAGCAGATGCAAACACTCACTGCGGTGATTGCAAACACACACAGGTCCTCCTCCCCTCAGCGGTGGATTCCAGTTCTCCTCCTTGACTATGAGCTGGTGTGGTGACTTGCTTCTGACAGAGGCAAGCAGCAGACAAGACGCCCCATGACTTCACTTCTGGCAAGATGGCACCGCATCACCTGACTCTGCGGTGCTTGCTGTTGGAACCCAGCAGCTGTGTCAGAGCCAAATGGGATGAGTGTCAGCTGGCACCAGGTGGCCTGCCAGGGGGAGGGTGTGAGTCAGGGGTAGGATAACTCACGGTGGCTGGCTACAGAGACACCCGACAGGGACCCCTGGCTGGGCCCTCACAGCAACCAAAGCCTGAGGGAGAAGAAGGAAATGAACATTGCTTGAGACCCAGAAGTCTAGGGAAGATGCATATGTGATGTGCCTGGCATGCTGCCCCCACCCCCACCAGAGATGCCACAGAGGGACCACCACCGCCCACTCACCACTTGGCAACACCAAGTTGCCCTCCACACATCTGATGGAATGAGCTTCACACAAAAAATGACACTCTGTGCAGCAGAACAGGCTTGAGGTCCTCCGTCACTGTCCCCATGCTGGGTAACACTAAGCCCCCTTTGATTGCAGTCCCAGCTGAATGTTGCATAACTTGGAAACAAGCTCAATGGTCACCCAGCTCCCTACAGAAAACACAGGAAGGAAGGGGCCTCAGACATCCCTGTGCCTGTACAAATGCATCCTCCTCGGCTTTAACTTTTTTGGTTTCTGGAGACGGTGTCACTTTGTAGTTCAGGCCAGCCTTGCGCTCTCAGCCATCCTCTTCCCTCGGCCTCCCAAGAACTTGTTTTTAAACCTGGTCATGGCACATAACCAATACCTAGAATACATAAAAACACAAATAATTAGATCCTCAAAGTGAAAAATACAGGCCACTGAAATGACAGCCACTTCTCAAAAGAAGTACCAATGGCTGATAAATATGAGAAAAAATGTTCAGCATCACTACCTATGAGACAAATGCCAATTAGAACACTGAGATTCTACCTTACTCCAAAAAGAAGGGCCATCATCCAGAAATCAAATTATAACAAGTGCTGGAGAGGCTGCAGGGAAAAGAGCCTTTCTCCACTGTTGGAATGTAAAGTGGCACAAGCACTGCGGAGATCAATGTGAACATCCCTCATATGCCCACCAGCAGGTAAGTGGATAAAGAAAACCCAGTATTTCCATAAAGAAGGACAAGCTTGAGTCATTTGTAGGAAAGTGGATGCACCTTAATGTTATGGAGACCGAGCCAAATGTGGTAGCTCACACCTGTAATCCCAGCACTCGGGAGGCTGAGGTGGGAGGATCCTTGCGAGTTCGAGACCAGCCTGGGCTACAAAGTGAGCTCAAGGCCAGCCTGAACTGCATAGCGAGACCCTGTCTCAAAAAGACAAAAAAAAAAAAAATGTGATGGAGACCGTAATGTTAAGTGAAATAAATCACACACACAAACTTGAATATCACGTTTTCCCTTATGCTAAAAACCGGAAATAGAAATGAAGAGCAAAATAAAAGATAGATACTACGAAACAGCAAGGTAGGTCTTTTACAAACAGAAAAGTGACCAAGAGATGGAAGCAAGAGAGGGGGGATGAGATAAAAGATATGGTATGCATGGGCCACTCCCCGTGATGAATGTAATCATTGTGTACTGCAAACGTGTTCTAATAAGAAACACAAAATTTTTGTTAGTGTGGTGGCGCTAATCCTAGCACTCAGCAGGCTGAGGTAGGAGGATCACTGTGAGCTCAAAGCCAGCCTGAACTACATAGTGAGATTCTGTCTCAAAACAAAGCAAAAACCAATACAACAAGCCATGATATCAGAGCGGATGCTTGTAAGTAGTTTCTCTCATTTTCCTGTGCTCTGGCCCTGTTGTCTAGCCCACCCTTCTGCATAGGCGTTGAAGTGAGCCCAGGCCACAGCGCTGAAGTGCTGTCCTTGGTACTTCTGTGGGGCTGCCCCTGCCTTGGTACTGTTTCCTGCCCGACATGCCTCCACACTCACAGCAGAGGAGTCCAAGTTTCATTCAGGACAACACTTCTGAGCCAAGTGTGGTGGCGCATGCCTGTAATCCCTGCACTCCGGAGGCTGAGGCAGGAAGGGTTTCAGGAGTGGAGGCCAGCCTGGGCCCCTGAGAGAGACCCTGTCTCAAACGAAACAAAATCCTCCCATGAACTGATTTATCCTAACCCTGGGAAGTGGGGACTAGTCGTGCTCTAAGCTGACAATGAGGAGTGAACTTCAGAAGTGGAGTGAATCACCCCACATCCCTCATCCAAGGTCAAACCCACTCCTTCAAATGGTGTCATTACCATAACCAAGCACACGATAGGTGCTCAGGAAATTGGAGCTGTTACTGCTGGAGCTACTTTCTGTCCTAGCACAATCCATCTTTCAGTCCCTGTCCTATACAAACAATCCGTTAGCCAGTGGTGGTGCATACTCAGGAAGCTGAGGCAGGAGGACTGCAAATTTGAGGTCAACCTGAGAACTTAGGAAGACCCTGTCTCAAAATTTAAGAAAAAAAAAAAAGATCCAGGATGTAGCTCAGGAGTGCAGCACTCGCCTAGCCTGCGCAAGACCTTGAATTCAAGCCTCAGCATCACAAAAAAGAAGTGCTTTGTTGCAGCTGCCTCGGGTTTGCAGAGGGTCCATGGCCAGGTCCTGGGTTGCAGTGCTGGTGAGTCTTGCAGGAGCAGGGTGCTGTGTGGGGCTGAGTCTTCAGGCCCCCACTCACCTGAGCTATGATTCCAGTCCTGATTCAGAAGCCACTTCCTGTCTGCCACCCCATGCCACTGGGCCCAGCCCTGTGATGTGGACGGACCCCTCTGCAACGATCCCTGACCACCCTGTGTCTTATCATCACTGGCCATGACTCTAAAGATGCCCAATGGCCTTTCTGTCTTCTTTATCCTGAGATTCAGTGAGGCTGTGGAAAATGACTTCTCTGAGCAGCTCTGAGAAAGG